AAAAAATATAGAAACAAAAACTAAAATAAAGAAAAAAATAAAGGAGTGGAATGGATAAAGAATTACTCAATGAAGTATTAGCCGAAGTAATGGAAGATCCTAATTTAATGGACAAAGATCCACTTGCAAATAAAAATAAAGATTTTATATGTTCAGCACAAGATGCAATAGGATTATATTTTGTGTCTAATAAAGAAGAAGTAGAAAAAGCACTTAAAGATAAATATTTAGAGAATGCAGTTGATTATCCTGATTATGTTCATCAACTATTTATGGGAGATTGTGAAATATATGGGTATAAAGATTTAAAGGTTCATGTATTGATTAGTGTCTATTCACATCAGATGTATGTTGACTTTTCATATTCACAAAAAATCGATGATGCAGAAGATATAATTAAATGTCTTCATAAATTTATGCCAAAAAACCAAAGAATTTTATCATTAGAAGGTTTTATTGAACAATTAGAAAAAGAAAAATATGGATTTAAGCCTTGTGGAAAGAAATTATATGAATTTGAACAAAATGGAGAGGTTTATGAAATTTATTATGGAGATGTTAATACTATGTATGAATATTACTGTCAATTATTTCCTGTTATTACAATGTATATTGAACGAGCTAATTGTGTTAATCCAGATGGAAAATGGGAATTTTTTAATTTGTTTCAAGTTATTGAAAATCCATCAAATGTTAGTCAAATTGAATATAGGATAGCTGCACAAACAAATACATATAGGTTTTATCATTATCCAGATTCATGGAGATTACGTATTGGACAATTTATAACATTTCCTAATTATCAAAGAAAAAAGTTAGGAAGATATTTATTAAGACAAGTATATTCATTCATTTTATCAGATAAAGATTTTGATTTAACTGTTGAAGATGCATGTTTAGAATTTCAAAAATTAAGAACATTTGTAGAACTTAAAATGATGGAAGAACAACAATTAAAATTACCAATTGATATTCAATCAGATACATTAAGTGAATGTCCAGAAGATTTTTGTGAGACAGTTAGAAAAAAGTGTGGAATAACAAAAATGGAAATAATGTCATTATATGAAATGATGGTATGGGCAGAATTAAAAAATAATAATGAGATAATGCCTAAGTTAGCATTAGAGTTCAAAAGAAAATATTACTCACAAACGAAAACAGAACTTGAATTATTAGAAAGTGATGAAATGAGATTAGAAATGATTGAAAGAGCATATAAAGCAAAAATTGCTCATTTTAAACAAATTTATAATGTTTTAGAATAAATTAAATACTTTTAATAAAAGAATTAGAATTTATTTTAATAAAATAAAAACAAAAGATAATTAAGATATATATAACGATAATTAATTTTGTTTAATATACTTTATTTCTATTACAAAATGAAATAGAAATTAATAAAATTCAAATAAATATCTAAGGAAATTTAATGAATTGAGATAACTTTAAATAATAAATATTAACAAAACAATAAAAACAGAATAAAAAGAAAGAAAAGATAAAGAAGTATTTATATAAAAATGAATTGAATCTAACTTTAAAATAAATAGAACACAAAAAAAAATAAATATATTCTAAAGAAGTAGAAAATATGTTTTGGATATTCTTACTTTATATTATTTCTTGTTTTGGAGCTCAAAATAATGAAAAAGAAGTATTAATTAATTTTTATAATCAATTAAATGGACCTAATTGGAAAATATCAACTAATTGGTTAAGTAATGAAAAAGATATTTGTGAATGGTATGGAATTGAATGTGATAAAGATGGATATGTTTTTCAAATATCTTTAGATTCTAATAATTTAGAAGGTAAATTACCAAGTTTAAGTTCTTTAACTCATTTATATGCATTTGTTGCTGATAATAATAAATTAACTGGTTCTTTAAGTGCTTTTAATGGATTAAAAGGATTTATGGCATTAAATATTAAGAATAATTTATTTAGTGGACCAATTTATATGATAGGAACAACAATGAAATGGTTACATGCTGATAATAATAAATTTACTGATATATTTTCTTTAGTAAAACATTGTCCTGAAATTGAAGTTATTGGATTAACTCATAATAAAGTGAAAACAATTCCTCGTTCTATTGGAACTTTACATCATTTAAGAACTTTATCTTTAGGACAAAATGATATTACTTCTGAAATTCCAAATGATTTAAATGGTTTAATTAATGTTGCTACTATTGATTTAAGTAATAATAAAATTTCTGGTTCTATTCCAATTACTTTAGGTCAATTACCTGTTATTACTGAAATTTTATTACAAAACAATAATTTATCTGGCTCTATTCCTAATACTTTATTTAATGCTTCTTCATTAACTTTGATTGATCTTTCTAATAATTCTCTTTCTGGTTCATTAAATGATGTATTAAATTCTAAAACATTAGTAACTGCATATTTACAATATACTGATATTGAAGGACCAATTCCTCCTTTATATTCAAGTAGTTTAAGACATCTTGATCTTCGAGGAACTAAGGTTGATTGTCCAATTTTAGATGCTAATAGAGAAATTATAGTTGCTGATTGTCCTCCAAGAGTTATTGTTGAAGCTGATGTAATGTCTAAATGTCCTGATTTTAGAAATTTTGGATATAAAATTGCTGCACCACTTCTTGAGAAGATTGGTTCTATTATTGATTTTAAAATTGGATGGATAATGACTCCAAGTTCTTCTTATTCTACTGGATATAGCTCAATGCATGGTAATACTGAAGTAATTGGTGATTTCTTATTTACTTGTGCACTTGAAATATATAATGCATCAAAAGCATTTGACTTTTATAATTGTATGGGTGAAAGTGTTGATTTAATTCCTTTAAATTATACTTCTTGTGCACAACAAGCAAATATGGATCCTGAGTCTTTAATTAAATGTGCATTTGGTTCTTATGGAAATACTTTAATGAAAGAAGCAGTTGATAGACCAATTCAAATGGGATCAACATGGTGTCCAACTGTTTATATTAATAATGAACGTTATTGTCTTTATGATTCATATCCATGTAATGCAACTACATTAGATGATTATATAAGAGATATTTGTGCTGCATATACTGGAACAAATAAACCTTCTGCTTGTCCCAAAGAACATTAAGTAATACAATTTTTAGTATTTTTGTTATTAAAAAATGGAAAATCTTTATCTACAAACAAATTGAAACAGGACTTAAATTTTCATTTTTTAAAATGCATTTAATTAAAAAGCCAATTACAACTCAAATCCCTATGTATTGTGCTTTTTCATTCCTTGTTATTGCTGGCGGTAAAACTGTATTACTTATAAATGAAATAACACAAGGAACAATTTGGGAAATTCCATTAACAGTATATATGTTATTTAATTGGCTTTGGTTATTAGGAACTCTTATCTATTTAAATTGTGTTGATCCTGGATATATGCCAAGATTTAAACCATTTGGATTTCCAGTAAAACAGTTTTATAATGTAAAATATCAAAATAAAATACTACCAAGAAATACTTGTGAAACATGTAATTTAGTAAGACCATTAAGAGGAAGTCATTGTAGAATATGTAATAGATGTGTTAATGAATTTGATCATCATTGTGGATGGATTGGAAATTGTGTTGGAGAAAGAAACAAAGGAAGATTTGTTGTATTTGTTTGTGTAGTATTTATGAATTCTGTCACTGCTTGGTTAATTAGTTTCTATCACATTTTATTTATGCCAGGTGGTTCTATAATAAATCTTCTGTTCATTATTATTATCTTCTTTATGTTTTCAATTACTAATTTAATGTTAGGATCATTATTCATCTCTCATATATATCTTGCTCTCAATGGTAAAACTACTTATGAAAATATCAAGCTCACAAAACAAAAATATCGTGCTTATGAACAATTCTTAGAAGAAAATGGTGTATCTCATAAATGTCATTGTAAAAAATGTGATAAGAAAAAATCTTCTCAAAATGATAAAGATGAAGAACAAATTAATGAATCATGTGAAATTAAAAGACAAGAAAACAATAACATTTTTACCCAAATAGAAAGAAAAAGGAAAGAAATTCTTTTAAGAAAACAATTTTCTTTGAAATATAAAAATGAAACATCTCCATATCCAAGAGGTTTTACTAATTTTTTTCATATTATATTTAAACCATCTCCACCATCATTTATTTAAATAAATAATTATTAAATACTTTTTTTTAATTTTAATTCATAGAAAATTTCAAAATAAAATATTAAAAAGTATTTTTATTAAAATATTGATTTAATAATTAAATTATAAATAATAATAAAAAAGTATTAAACACATCTATAAAAGAAACCCTGAGAAACTCTAAAAAATTGAAATAACCTATGGTCAGAGTTAACGTTCTTGCTGATGCTCTTAAATCAATTACCAATGCTGAAAAACAAGGTAAAAGACAAGTTATGATCAGACCAGCTTCAAAAGTTATTTGTGAATTTTTGAACGTTATGATGAAACATCAATACATTACTGACTATACCGTTGTTGATACTCATAGAAGTGGAAAGATTGTTGTTAATTTAAATGGTAGACTTAACAAATGTGCTGTTATTTCACCAAGATTCAATGTTACTCTCAGTGAA